AGATTGAGATAGTCTGGTTCTCTAGGGGTTAGTGTATACTAACATCTGCGGCCTCTATTTATTCTCCTAGAGGGGCGGGGGTGGCCGGGTGGGAGGGGCTCAGTTAGGCAAACAGAACTCTCTTCAGCATAACCGTCTCTTGCCACTCGACTCGTACGAAACAGGTCGGTGATTTCATATCCCCATTTTTTAAATATTTCCACCCAGGCTTCGCATGGCATGTTGAGGGTCAGCTGGAAAACGCCACATTCAGTGTTGAACCGCTTCATGGACATGGTGCCGTTTATGTCACTGGATGAATGAGCTGTGATCTTGTAGTACCAGCGACCAGCCGGTGTGTTCTGTGTCTCCCAAACAGCTTTAAACACTTCAGCATTTGAGCATTTGACCGTTTCTTCCCCAAAACCTCGGTCAGTCGCACCTTCATGCTTTTGGCCTGCTCCATAAAACGAGGCATTTTCTTATCCGGTTGTCCATCATAATCCTCATCATCATCATCATGGCTTGAATTTTTAAAACACTCCTTAAGGTATTCTATAACTAGACATTTTAGAATACCCCAGTCGCTAGCTGTGATGGGGGTTTTAACAGTCTCGGGGCTAAAAGTCTCGCCCTCGTCCAGCTGGTAAAAAGACAACTCAGCAGTTCCGTACAGAAAAATATAGCCAAAATAACCTGATTGCTGTTTGATTTCACCTCGAAGCGAAGATGCATGGTGGCTTTTTTTGGTGCGTTGAGTAAATCCGTTTGCTCTGTGATAATCACAGGAGTGTTACTGATGACTCCATCCATTTTCTCGCGATGAAAAGAAGGAGTAGTCATTTTTGTTTTTCTCAGAGGTTAATACAGCTTATTTTGATGCATGAAAAACTTTTTTCACTCTAGAAGCCTATGGAAAACACTGTCTTTTTATAAAGAGAGAGGGGGTGAGTGTATGCCTGCTAAGAAAAAACGTTTACTGCTTGCTGATAAGAAAAACGGTATGTCTGGGTTTATCTCTAAAAACGTGTACTGTGTTGTTATCTATGATTACAGAAGGGGCTACAAACTGCAGCATAGCCATGCGAACGGTTGCAGTGTGGACGGGGGTGGGCGTGGAAAGCATGTTGAAAACGAACCGGGACAGTGGTGCGCATTAAAAAAGGTATTGTGTTCACCCTATCTGCTTGGATGTATGTTATAAGGATAATGCACTAACATGCTGTTCATTGACAGTAGTTTGACATTCTGTGTTGCTACCTTTTTTGGCAACAGAAAATAAAATGAACGATAGCCTGGTGAGTGGCTGATAAGTGTTATCAGCTGATGAGTAAATGAGTAAGTGAATAAACTGATGAGTGTTTATTCCACACTCATCATTCTTAAATAGATCATTTTACAAGATCAAGTAAGGAACATTCAAACTTTACAAAAACAAGTTAAATACTTAACTATACCATCATATGTAGGGGCTGTAACCAATATCAAATACAGTTATACAGTTATATTCTTATCTATATAACCACATGTGTGTAGAGACTGTAACCACTGTCTGTTTATCTTTTCAGATGCGGTTAACCACGACTTCCTTATCTCTAGCTGCAGATGTGTCACGACTTCCTTATCTCCAGCAGCAGATGCAGGGGGGGTGGGAGGGTACCCCCGGGGGCCTCGTGGGACCAGGAACCAGAAGAACGAATCTGATTGGATGGGGCGGGACTAAGGACCGGATAAACGATTCTGATTGGCTGGGAGGCGGGACTAGGGGGCGGGTCCACCTGTCAAATTAATTCTGATGAGATGTGGTACCTTTACTGTGTGTCATGGTGATACCCTGACAGAGAGACTACCGAATGCCACTCCCGTCTACTGTATATAACTAGCCAATCTCCAGTCGCTAGCCAACAAAATGGACAAGCTGCCTCTCATAAACTGGACTAACTCTGACTTCTCATGTTCTGTTGCTCTATGCTTCCTGGAAACGTAGCTCAGCAACTCAATTTCAGAGTTGGCTCAGCAGTTCAATTTCAAATTACTGGGCTTCCAACTGTATAGAGCACGTTGTATAATGGAGTTATCCAGGAAAACGAGAGGAGGTGGACTCTGTTTCTATATAAATGAAGGTTGGTGTCACTCTGTTAAAAAAAAGTTGCAGTGTGGACTTATAACTGCAGACCGTTCTATTCACCTTGAGAGTTCTCCTGTTTTATCCTGGTTGGTGTGTATATCCCACTGCAGGCCTATACTAACAGTGTGCTAAAGCACTTAGCCAACCAGATAACTGGAGTGGTATCTGAGACATCCCAACTCCCCCCTCATTGTTCTAGGGGATTTTAAATGAGGAAATCTCACCCAGGAACTGGCCAAATACAGACAGCAGGTCAGTTGTTCCACCAGGGACAAAAACACATTGGCCCACTGCAACAGTGTAATAAATGCCCACCACTCTGTCCCCTGTGCAGCCCTTGGGTTCTTAGATCATTGCATGGTCCATCTCATCCACACTTACAAGCAGAAACTTAAAGCTGCAAAGCCTGTGGTCAAAACAGTGATGAGATGGGCCGAGGAGGCAAAGTCTGAGCTACAGGCCTGCTTTGACTGCAGAGATTGGAGTGTATTTGAAGTTGCAGCAACAGACCTGGGTGAGCTCACTGATAACGTGACATCATACATCAGCTTTTCTGAGGATATGTGTGCCTACCAAGACCTGCATGTACAACAACAACAAGCCCTGGTTCAGAGTAAGACTCAAGCAGCTTGATCATGCCAAACAGGACGCCAACAAAAGTGGAGACAGGATCCTGTACCATCAGGTCAGAAACACACTGACAAGGTAGATCAGAGTAGCCAAGAGGAGCTACTCTGAAAAGTTGAAAAACCAATTTTCAACCATTTGTGCAGAGAAGCCTGCAGAAAGCCGCCAGAACAACCCTGGCTACCGTAGACCACCCCCCCCCCCCAAATGCTCCACCATCACCCTGGTCCCCAAGAAACCCTCCATCAGTAGACTGAACAACTACAGACCTGTCGCTCTGACATCTGTGCTTAGAGAGGCTGGTGTTAACTTACTATTGGACAAACAGGTCAGTGTATGATGCAGTGAACATGGCACTACATTACATACTGCAACACACCTTGACTTCCCAGGGACCTGTACACAGGTCCTCTTTGTGGACTTCAGCTCGGTGTTCAACACCACCATCTTGGACATCCTCCACTATAAACTGACCCAGCTCACTATGCCTGCCCACACCTGTCAGTGAGTCACTGGTGTTCTGATACACAGGAAGCAGCAGGTGAGGCTGGGGAAAAATCACATCTAGCACCCAGACAATCAGCAAGGCACTCCCCAGGGATGTGTGCTCTCCTTGCTGCTCTTCTCCCTCTGCACCAATGACTGTACCTCAGGGGACCACCCTCTGTTAAACTCCTGAAGTTCGCAGGTGACAAAATGGTCATCAATCTCTGAGACAGTGATGAGTCTGCCTTGTGGTGTGGTTGCAAGAACATGGAGCTGAACACACTCACAACAGTGGAGATGACATTGGAACCCCACCCACCCAGCTTCCTGTCCCAGCTCAGGACATTCAACCTGTGTCAGGAGCTGCTGATACAGTTTTATAAAAGAATAATCGAGTCTGTTCTCTGCTCATCCATCACTGTCTGGTTTGGTTCAGTAAACAAACAGGACAGGAACAGGCTCCAGTGGATAGTCAGGACTGTGCAAAAGATCATTGGTGCCAACCTGACCTCCATGGAGGACCTATATGACTCAGCGGTCAAGAGAAGGGCGGAGATTTCTGCAGACCCCTCACATCCAGGACACAAGGTATTTGAACTGGATGGCACTACAAATCATTGCACACCAAAACAACCAGACACAAAGACAGTTTCAGACTCCAGTGGACAGTCAGGACTGCAGAAAGAATTATCAACATCAAAGACAGTTTTGGGTGTAAGGCCATACCGTGCCATCTTCTGCAAACAAGCCAGATGTGGGCAGCAGATACATGGTCTACTCTAATCTGGGCTCATTGTCTGCAGAACCCCCAAATGGATGCCAGTGTTGCTCTGTGTTTGCTGGATGCAGGAATAGACAACCATTTGTTAAATCCTTTATCATCAGCCTAAGGAGACAACATTTCTGTGTTGTGTTTAAAACTTGTTTGCCTGCTTCCAAGTGTTATTCATTCATTTATTAGGTTTTTTGGTCAACAAACAAAATTAAAATTGCAATTATTTTACACAAAAAAGCATGAAACATAAGGGTACATACATCCATTTGAATAAAAGCATGTATGCACACACATAATCATACAAAGAAAAAATAAAATAAATAAAAAACAACGTTATTGACCAAAGGTGTAGGCTGAAGCTAAAGCTTATTATGCCTACCCTTACTCCACACAAGCAGCACTAATGGACATAAATTTAATATAAAGAAATACTGAATATTCTGAATATATATTTAGAACATGCATTGTGATTATTATTATTATTATTGAGTATATCTTTTTATTACCATTCTTTTATAAAGTATTTTAAACTGTGGTAATGAAGTAGCCATTTTTATTTCATCAGGAAAACTATTCCACAACTGAACACCTTTATTAGATGGGCAGTTACTACTTAATTTAGTTCTACAATATGGTTTGTTAAACATATATGTCCCACTAAGGTCATAATTACTTTCCCTTACGCTGAACATAGCTTGCAAAGACTGAGGGAGGGTTTGTTGTTTTGCCTTATAAATAAGTTTAGCAGTACACAAATCTACCAAAGGAGCTGGAGGAAGTGTCTGGAGAGAGGGAAGTCTGGGCGTCTTTGCTTAGACTGCTTCCTCCGCAACCCGGTCCCGGATAAGTGGAGGAAAGTGGATGGATGGATGGATGGATGTATATGGCATGTCCATGACAATTTATGACCTATAATCACTCCTAGAAACTTTATATAATTAACTCTTTCTAATAAGTTATCAATTTTAATTTGAATATTATTATCCTTACCCTTTTAACAACCATGAATTTTGCTTTAAATAAATTCAGAGATAATTTATTCAAATCGAACCAGCTCTTTAATTTGTGCAGTTCTCTCTCCAGTATCTTTATCATCTGTTCCAGATTTTCACCAGAACAATAAACATTGGTGTCATCTGCAAACAAGACAAAATTGAAAACATCAGATACCTTACAAATCTCATTAATATAAAGTAAAAATAACTTAGGTCCCAACACTGAACCTTGTGGAACTCCACAATTTATTCTCTGCAAATTAGACTCTACACCAGTTATGTGCACATACTGAAACCTATCCGTTAAATAATTTTCAACCCAAGAATGTGCTATCCCCCTAATACCATATTTTTCCAATTTATATAAGAAAATATTATGATCTATTGTATCAAAGGCTTTTTGTAAATCTAAAAATATTCCAAGTGTTATGTTGGATGCTGTTTGTCTTGTTACACTATAAGCTCACCACAGTAAATTCCTAAAACTTGTAATGGAATTAAAGTAAATTCAGCTCTATTTTAATCATAGCTTTGGAATTCCTCAGTGTGAAACTGAAGAAGTCTGAAAAAGCTTCACTGGTGAGAATAATATGAATAAATCCACTCATACACCTAGGCCTGAGGCAGTACTGTCTACTGTACTTGCCTTCTGAATAACTTTATCCACCTCAGAGCCAATGGGGGAGTAGAGGATCTTGGGATTTGTAGTCATCAAATGAACCAGTAGGCCCAGATTCCGCTGTTCTTTACTGGTGAATCCTAGAGAACTCATATTCCCCTGCTTCAAAGCCTCTGGCTCAATGATCCTGCAACAAGAGCCAATGTGGTGATCCAGAATATTCACATTTATAGGGCTCACAAAAAGGTTGCTACTGTGAGACAACAAGTAATGCTACAGACTTGCAACTAAGATCCTATTCTTGCAGAAAGTCTGTTGATTCAGTAGGGTGTCAATAGATCTGACATATATTCAAAGGCTACTGAACTACTGAAGAAGTAGGAATAACTTTCAGGTATCGCCTCACTGCAAGAAGGTTCTGGGTTCGAGCCCCAGCTGACCCAGAGCCTTTCTGTGAGGACTTTGCATGTTTTTCCTGTGCCTGCATGGGTTCTCTCCGGGTACTCTGGCTCCCTCCCACAGTCTAATAAGCGGGACTAATCATTGTAAAGATACTTTTTTCGTGCTTCAATTAATTTGCTCCACAATAACAAGAGACACTCTATCATCTTTTTTCCATCACCTCTGTAATCTCGCCCACCTGTTGTTCCCACACAGAATTGGCTGCAGTCCGGCCCACAGTTGTACAAATGCTGAAAACTGAGAGTGAGGATTCTCTGTTTCTGCCTTTCCTTTCACTCCTCCTGCTTTTCTGCCTCCCTCTGCTCCTTCCTCCCCCTCCTCTCCAGAGACCTCAGTTGTGTTGGGGCCCCAGATGGTGCTGTTAAGGGGTGAGGTCAGGTTTGTAGGGGATGCTGGAGATCGACCAGTACAGGCTCCTTTGGGCAGCAGGCGAGCCAGACCAGAGAGCAGGTCCACATCCTTGAGAAGCCGCTCTACATCAGCCAGGTCCTTCAATAAGGCTCCAAGGTGGGACTGAGAGAGAGTGGCTATAGAACTGGGTTGGTCCAGGTGAAGCTGGTGGGATGAGGGTAGATGAATAGAAGAAGAAAAAGTGAGGGAGAGAGTTAATAAGAAAATACATAGTACTCCAAATTTGCAGTAAGTACAGCAGGTCATTCAGCAATCAGAGGCGCCCCAGCTCCTCCTGCCTACATGTATAAATGTAGATGTGATCATTATTATAAAGTATCTTGTTTGCAAAAAACATCACATAATATTCTGATTATTTTGTTAAATTATGATTTAACAGATGACAACAATAGCTGTAGCAAATGTTTATGCTGTACCTTATCAATGACACTTTGTGTGTTGATCTGCTCTCTCAGCTCGAGGCTCATCTGTCTGAAGTGCTCTGACCTTTGACCCTCCCCTGCACTGCACACTGTGTTGCAATAGGCCTCCAACAACGGTTGCTGCTTCTCAGACACCAAAAGGATCTTACTGAGCTCACTGGTCCCCACGCTCCCGCAGGTGAGGCTTTCCAGCATGGCTCCAGTTAGGAGGACCCCCTGTGGAAGACAGGCATAGTTAATCGAATATCAATGTCTAAAGATCATGTCACTCTACTGCCTGCTTATTATCACTGTCCTTACTTATGATAACATCAAATGGTGAATATAGTTCACCCCCAGTTTTAACCAGTTCCAGGTTTCTGTTACATGCACACACACACAAAAAAAAAAAAAACACAAAATTGATAAGAAAAAAGGGAAAATATGACGGACTGATAAAAACTACAAAAATCTACCATGAAGTATTTTTCAAAGTCATTAAAGTGACTGCAGGACACTAACATGGATGCTTTTCCTCCCAGACTCAACTTTGTTGCACATGCTAGGAGTTTGTTGAAGTTCAGAACAGTTCTAATTAGGATGAATAGCTGAAAACATCTGTGTATGTCTCCAGGGCAGTTAAGGTCCAAATTCCAGGTTGGTTAAGGGTGCAGACTATAAGTTAAGCTTCAAATATAAGAATGCAAATGTAGACCATGATTAGGTGTGGCAGGAATCAGCGAGTATACCTCCACTTCCTTCAGGCCCTGTGGGTCATTTCCTTGATCTCCTGTGGATTCAGTGAGGCCCAAAGCTTCGGACATCAGTTTAAGCAGAGCTTGACTATGAGTTTCTTTCAACTGGTCATGTAAGGCTTTGTGTATAACACCTCCATTCAAACTGTGTACATCTCCCAGCAGCTTCTCCTGTAGGTGGGGCCAGGGACACAAGAGGCAAGGTAGACATCACTGTTAAAGAAAGCATGCACTAGAACAGTGTTGACTAAAATCAGCCACAATAAAACACAAATGAATACAGCTGTAATAATGACAAAGCAATTTCAGGGGTTTGCTCATGTCTGGTCATTAAGTTGTGTCCAAATATAATAACATCAAAGAAACAAACAAGTAATAAAACATATCCATCACATTACCACTTTCAGACAGCTTTATCATGATTTGAGGATGAAACTGTCCAGAAAACCTGGACCAGACATTTACCTGCCACAGTATTCTATTCTAACGATAACTGATAGTGGTCAGACAACTAACAAAATTAATTGAGACACAACTATTAGTATGTTACTGGCTAATAAAATTGCTATGGATATTAGTTACACATATAGCTCCCACAGAGGAACATACAGTATTTCTGACCACCTGACTAGGGACTTACCACTGTAAGGTGTGTGTGATATCGTATTGGATGCTTCTTCAGGGCACGGACATTGCCTCGATTCAAAGTACACTGTTCAAAGTAAACTGCAACCTTAATCCTGCACGTAAACCTTAAAACATTTGTTGTTGTTACTGGAGGAGCTCAGGTCTCTTTTGAAGAGAAACTACCCTAATTGGCTCCCACACTGCATCTGGCAGAAAGCTGCTAAACTGTCCGTCCTGAATGTAGTTTTTTGTCACCAGCCCCTGCTCCCATTGTCTGCCCTCACCTGCTGTCTAGGCAAGATACTGTGCATCTCAAATGAGCCAACAGAGAGGGCAGAAAAGAGTACTGGCAGCTTGTGAGAAATGCCAGTACACAAGAAGAAATCCTAGTATGCGAAATGGTAAAAGTGCTGGTATGGCATACCGGTGCATTCCAGTCCATTTCAAGCTGTGATGGTGGCTGAATAACTTGGCTTACTGTCAAGTGTGAGAGAGTAAATATTCATGTTAATAGTTTCACCATTTCCTGCTTTGACAAGTTAAAATGTCTGCTGTTCTGTCTATTCAAGTGAGCATACTGGGCAATGATGCTCATGATTGCAACTAAGATTTTCTAGAAAAGTCAACTTGGATTAATTTTGCCACAAGGCCTGCTAGGGTTAGGCAAATTACTACTGCACTAATGATAAGTTAGATAAATCTTGACTGACTTTAAGTTGGCCAGACTTTACTGACTCTTCATATACTAACTCTGAGAGCGTGGTGTGTGTGTTGAGTATTTGTTAGTTTCTTCTAACCTTCCCTCTTTCTTTCCTACTCTATTTGATGATACGTAGATGAGTAGATCATTGTGGCTGTTATTATTATACTTTAGTATGTGTTCAGTGGATAGTTGGCCAACACCACGCCATGTCTCTGAGGCATGGCATGAGAGTGGTACCACAGTCCAAAGTCACAGTGGAGGAGGTGCTGTTGGCTGCATTACACCAGGTGTGGCATGGAAGCATCACACATGCCTCACATACGATTAAAGCTATTACTGTGCTTCTGAAAGAGCAGGGGCTTGTAAATGAGGTTCCCAGTGAATGCTTTTTATTGTCTGAATCAAACATGGGAGGTTTCCATGATAAACATGGGGAAGGATTCTACACAAGCAGCGGAGCCTGCAATGGCCGTTGCAGTTGCTGATGAGGGGGGCCTGCCTGTCTGTCTGTACAGGGTGGTGCTGGTGGCTCCATGCCCAGGCTGGCGTTGTGCGCTCTGTGTCTGGCGCTGCTGGTGCAGGGGGCTAAGTGCTGGAGACTGTTGGTGTATGTGACCAGGACTATCATTATCAGGGGCACTGTGTCCGGTGCAGGAGAGGTGGAAACTGAATTTGTATGTGGGGAAGGACAGATTGAGGAGAGAATGAGGGGCTCAGAGCAGATATATGAGTGCTTTGCTTTGTAGAAAGTCCAAGAATCGCAGGTCTGACTGGACAGAGGCAGAGGAGTAGCCTGTTGGTTGCCATGGCAACAACGTAACAGACAGATTGTGAATCTCGTTTTCATGTTTCTGTAGCTGATGGTCTTTTTCTGAATGCTGACTTGTTTTCTTTAAAGGAGATGTACGACTTCTTGGATGAGACATATAATCAGTGAATGTTAAAGATGATTTCCCTAATGATTTCATTCAGTCAGTTTCTACTCTTCAGAAAGTTGGGTTTGATTTACTAGATGAAAAGAAACATTTCTATCTGAAGAAGAAGTACAGGGTGGGCCACAAAAAAGTAGCCTGCCTCCAAAACCATCCACTTGTTTGTTCATACTATCGCCGGAAGCATGCTACTTTTCTGTGGCCCACCCTGTACAAGGACACTTAATGCCTAAAAGATAAAAGAAATGAAACTGAAAATAGAAGTACTATGATAGTGCAGCACTGGGTGTTTCATCTCTGCTCTTTATTTTCTGTTTTGCTTTTTCCTGTTTTGTCTGCCCCTTCTGTAACAGCCAATAAGATCAAAATGACCATTTTCAGAAAATTATAAAATATCCCTATCCATTGTTTTCCACATATAATAAAACATAATAAAGACATGAGCTACAGTAAACATTTTGATTTTGCTGACAGGGCAGATAAGACATCTGGAGAAAAGAGCTAGAAATATTTTGCGTGGGAATATATTGGCCCGAAGGGACCAGTACCCGATTCTTGTTTGCTGTTGTATCTTGACGCTGAACTCTGAATCATATATTCGTTGAAGAAACGAAATAATGGTGATTATTCTCAAAGGACTTGTCCCTAGGAGTAACTCCTTGACTATACAAGTAATGGTGTGAACCATTGAGCAGCTACTGTTTTATTAATGCTGTCAGTTCAATAAAGCAGTTAATGATTAAAAGATCCAGAGATTTTGATGGTTTGCAACACTTTGAAATACAGAACAACTTTTTCTCTCCTTTAACAAGACAATATCTATAAAGGGGAAACAGACAATATATAAAAACATCACTGGCTAAGGGCTTTGGTGGCTGTGCAGATTATTCTATGACAACAAATGGAGACCAAGTAGACAAACTGAAATAAGGCATCATATCAAAATATATCAGATTGTCCTGTACTGAAATGAGTTAAGGTGAACTGAATTAAAGTGAGCAGAATAGTGTTAGGAATGTATTAGTAAAGGGGTAGCAAATCACCTCTCTGATGCTGACTGGAGAGTTGAGCAGCAGGTTGGCTGTAGAGTTGGATAGGGAGAGATTCTTGACCAAGAATTGCTGGAAAGCTGAGTGGTTCTTCAACACACTGGCCAATGTGAAACCTCCATTCAAGGTACACACACACACACACACACACACACACACATACACATTGTGTTTCCATAACTTCAGGGGACATTAAATTGAATTACATTCATTTTCTGGAGACTTACTCTAACCTTACTGTACTAGCCTAGCCCTAACCTGAACCTTACAGTAACCACCCTAAACTAATGTCAAACTAAGGCATCACTCTAAAATGATTTACATTTTGGGGACTTGTATTATCCCCCTAAGGATGTTGAGTCTCCAAAATGTGACTGTGTAAACAGATTTATGTCCCAACAACATAGCAGGCCAAACTTTAAGTGCATATTTTATTACTTCAGCCCACTTTTGCTAAACAAGACAATCAATGTAAAATATGGTGTTTCACATCTTTAACTATAATTATAAATTACATTATATTTCCAGTACCTGTCAGAACTTTTTACTCACCTTCCCATTCAATAGTGTTTTGTTTCTATTATTCTACATTTTTGATTAATAGAAAAGACACCAAAACTATGAAATAACACATACATACATGTTGCAACAAGTATATACAAAGCAAAATATTGTATAATCAAAATTTTAGATTTCTCAAAGCAGCCACTCTTTGTCTTGATGACACTTTCACACACTACTGGCAATAACTTAACCAGCTTCATGAGGTAGTCACCTGGAATGTTTTCAATTAACAGATGTGCCTTGTCAAAAGTTACCAGGTGGCATTTCATTTGTTTCTGTAGTGTTAGAGAGAATTGTCGTAAGGTTGTAGAAGTTACTATGTCTGCATTATGCCAGTTAAAATATGGGGTTTCTCAATTATCCACTTTGTTTAGTGTTACACATCTCTTTTCATTGGTACATATACTGTTGTTTACCTATCTGTGGAGGAGACTTTCAAATTAATTAATGCCGTAGCAGATCGTTGTGCTGTCCACTTGCAACACAAAACCAGCAGCAGGAGTTGTGTGAACTATCCTCTCATTTTTATTTATCCGGGCTTGGGACTGGCACAGAAGTCACTGGCTTGCAACCCCTGTGGCTAGATTATTTTTAGAAGAGGCTTTTTGGATTTATTATTCTGAAAAAAATATAGACTATTTGGAGTTATGAGCCTTGCCAGTATAATCTAGAGGTACCCAAGATTAAACATTAAATGGCTGGAAACAAGCATGCCATGGGGACTTTAACCAATATTGCCATCACAAAAAACGTGACACTACAATGACCACCTGGTCTGTGCTTAGTGGGACCAGAACCTTATAGATAGAAGAAATGAGGGGGGCCAAAAATGGCAACAGGTCACATGACTCACGTAGCTTCAGACAGTCACAAACAGCCACTTCAGATCCACTGTCCTCTGTAGGGAACAGTGGGATTTATCAGCAAATTACTACTACCCCATGATCCACCATTACTGTTTAAAAAACTGTCTTTATAGAGTCACTGGAGATGTCATCACTGTCCTTCTGTCCCTTAATCTACTCTGAGTGGGACCATCATTTTTTCAACAGGACAATGACACCTCCAGGATTTGTAAGTGCCATTTGACTATGAAGGAGCCTCAACAATCACCTGGCCTAAATGCAGCTGAGATGGTTCGTGATAAGCTAGACCACAGAGGGAAGGAAAAGCAGCCAACAAGTGCTCAGCATATTTAAATTCAAATTCAAATTTTATTTGTATAGCAGCAAATCACAACAAAAGTCATCTCAGGACACTTACAAAGTAAGGTCTAAACCTTACTATTATCACTATTATTATAGAGGAAAACCCAACAAATCCCCCTTGAGCAAGCACTTGGCGACAGTGGGGAGGAAAAACTCCCTTTAACGGAAGAAACCTCCGACAGACCCCGACTTTTGGTGGGCGGCTTTTTGCCTTGACCGGTTGGGGTGAGTGGATAGAGGAGAGAGAAAAGAAGAAAAGCAACAGGACACAAGAAACAATCAAACACTGCTCATCAGAAACATAGAGCTCCAGAGCCAGGGAAACCTGCAGAAAGGTACAGGGGGAGAGAGAGGAGACACTACGGGAGAGAGGAGACACAGGAGACACACAGTTAATGGCATGTAATAGTGGCATATAGATGCATGGAGAGAGAGGAGAGAGGAGAGGAAAGGGCAGGGGAGGGTAGAGAGGAGAGAAACTCATATGTGGGAACTCCTTCAAGACTGCTGGAAAACCTTTCCAGGTGAGCACCTCATGAAGCTGCTTGGGAGAACACCAAGTTTGCACAAAGCGGTTATCAAAGCAAAGGTGGCTACTCTATAGAATCTAAAATTTAAACCATATTTTGCTGTGTTTACACATTGTTTGCTTACTAATATAATGTATGATTTCATAATCTGATGTCTTCAGTATTAATCTACAATACAGAAAATAACAGACACAAAGAAAAGCTAGTGTTTCCAAACTTTTGACAGCTATCACATTCTTGTCAGCTCCTCTGCAAGCCTCTGTGACTTACAGCGATCCATTATACCCCTTTCTGTCTGGGTTTCAGAGATGTTTATGTGCATCTTCACAGAGGCATAATTTCAGCTTGAACCTATACACAGACTCATTTGATAAACAGATCAGTGCAGTAGTAAAAGTGAGCTTTTATTAGTTAAGATAACTATCCAAGATTATGGCCTATCATTTATGGATTTTGAGAAGGCAGTTTTAGCGTCTGTCAGTTCGAGACTTGTAATGTGCCATAAGTGGGAGAAGGGATGTGCGACATATATTGTCTATGACAATATCTTAATCGTTATTTTAATGATGTGTGAGCTGACATTATCGAGTATGTCACTTATTTTACAAAAATCTATCAAAAAGATGATTTGAGTCCACACATTCACTGCGTCATGTAGCCTGGTAGGAGAGACTACTGCATGTGCACACTAAGAGTGCACATAGGCACAGTACTACAAGTCAAGCTAATGTAGCTGCCTAAAAATGCATTAGCCAAGTTAAAACTGAGTGAACAAAAAACAACAGGAAACACAAACACAAAGCAAACTTTTGTAAAAGTGATTTTAGTGTTTGTGTGTTGTATGGAATGCATCACTTTTAAGGAAACCATATTTTACTTAAAGGTTGTTTCCATTAATATCATTAGTAAACAACAATGAATATGCTATTAACAAGAGCCAGCTAATATAATATGACATCAAACAGATTTTTGGAGGATGCAAAATATCATCTGTTTATCATTATCGACAAAATCCCAGAAAATATCCAGGTATCATTTTTTGTCAGTATGGTTCAAAACGCAGCAGCTCGTCTGCTGATGTAACCACGACCATATATCCCCAGTTCCTTCTCGGGCTTGACTTCAAGATATTGCTTTTTTTTTTTCAAGACTGTCAATGGGTTAGCAGTTCCTTACATTTCAGATTTCATACATCCTTATACTACATCTTAGATCCTGTAACCAGCTATTAGAAGTGCCAAGAGTGAGACTTAAGGTGAAAGGTCAGTGTGCCTTTTCTGTCACAGGTCTGAAATTATGAAAAAAACGACTATTAGATATCAGATCTGCCCCAACTCAGGCGATTATTACCTCTTGCCTCAAAACTCGATTTTTGCATGTGGTTTTTTATCTTTTTTAATGTCACAGCTGTTTTAATGTAGCTGGCCACTTGTCTTTTATCTTTGTTTTGCTGCTTTTCATTGTTTAGCATTTATTAATTTTTCTTGTCAATTGTGCCTATGGTTATGTTGTGTGACTTGCTGCTTGTTGTTATGCACTTTGTAACAGATGTTTTTCTAAATATTGCTTTCTAAATATTTTTGCTTTGCTTTGTTCTGACTGAAGCCAAAGTTTGCCTACATGATTAACATGGCATCTATTTCTGTACCAGCTCTCCAACAGCTCTTATCTGCATGGATAATTACATCACCTAAAGCTGCAGAATGGATCAGTGCTATCTCTTCTTACTCTGTATCTTCAATGAGTAGGCAGCAGCCTGTGTGAAGGAATTAATGTATTTAACAAGCCAGTGTTCAGTGATTGTACAGTAGGGCCAGACATTTAATAAAACAAATGACTGAAACCAATATTATCATTCCCTAATTGGCTAAGTTTCAGTCATTTGTTTTATTAATTGTCTGGCCCTACTGTACAATCACTGAACCTAACAGATATGTTCTAAGTCCGAGCGTTGATCTTATGATAAATGGTTTAAAATGATAAACTAGTGATATGTGTTGATTTCCTGTGCCACTTGCCAGTGCCAGAACTGGTCTCATCACATTTAAACACTGTGTCAAAAACTTACACACCAACAACAGAATATATATCATATATTTGAATAAAGCCCAGGATTTAGAACTTCTGGTTTAAACCAGTGATATCCAAAAGAAGATTAAAAGACAAGCAATTTCACTGATGTGTTTGGGAGTTCTCAAACTTTTTTTTGCCAATGATTCATCTTGACGTAAAGTCAACACACCAACTCATTAGATAAAGTATGATTGTATGTCAGACCTTGGCTGCTGCTGACGTTGTAGTCTGGTGGTAAAGGGGTGGAGCTGAGACTCTCCAAGTGCTGCTGCAGGGTCTCCAGCTCTCGACCCAGACCAGGCCGATCAGATGTGAAGAGTCGGTTCTGTTCAACCACTTCACTGATCCGCTCCAGCAGCTGGGTCACACTACAGACAGATTTATTATAGTCATTAAAAGATTTGTAAGACTGCACTGAAAAAAATAACAGTCTCATTGGAAGAGATGGCACTACATTTAAAAACAATTGGCATAATAAAGCACACAAAGTACTGAGAATGTGTTTTTCATAGTGAATGTACTTACGCTTTAAGAAGTTATTACTATAAATATTACATTATTTGATTATGCATGAATTTGCACTTGCACCTGCAGCTGCATCTGCAGGTATATCTAACAAAAATAAACATTTTAACCTGTAAAGTGAGTATATTGCTATTAAACTGCCTGTACGTGGCAGCAATGTATTGCTTTTAAAGTAACAAAGAAATTAAATGAATATACTCAAGTAAAGTACAAATAGCTCAAAATTGAACTATACAAAACTTGTATAGGATTTAAGTAAACAATCACTTTTCATTTGTGCCAGAACTAATGGACTCTCTTTCCGCCTCTGCCTAAAAACAGTACTTGCATCACACTGTGAATATTTGGGAGTTAATTCTTACTCTGAGATACTTTATAAATACAGAGCAGGAGCATAAAACAAAGGCGAGTGATTTGGGATGGTTATGGAACGAGATACATAGACTAGGGGTGTTTGTGAGAGAAAGTACAACGACACGGCTACAAATCATACGGATAAGCGGAGAGATTAATTAGTTCATCTGTATGCTATTACAGGTAATAACTGCCATGCTCTATTTGACTTTATTAACAGTGTTGTGGCTCTCACTCCAGTAGTCAATTAGCACCATTAAACAGCCAACTGGCTCTGTGTCTGTTGTGTTTTTGTCAATATCTAGTTACATAAAGGAGTGTTTTTGTTTATGTCTACACTGCGTGTATTTATTCTTTCAGAGTGCATTTCCACATTTTAAAGGGTAATGCTAACATTATTTTATCTCTCTGTAATATTATCACCAACCAAATGTTGTATCAAACGATCCAGTACATTATAAGAGGTTTCATATAGTGGAAATGATACAGAAAAAGGCAGAAGATGGTCAAAATCAATTCTACATTAACAGCAAGCCATAGTTGCTGAGATACAGTATTTTATTAAAAGCATAAAAATTTAAAGCTGTTGGTGGCGCTAGACAACAGAATAGAGGGTCACCGAAGTCAATAGAATTTATCCTCTGGGGACAATATACAGTAAAATTTTATCTCAGTCTGAACCAAAAAAGTGCACCAAACAGAATGGGTTTGCCATCCATAGAGTGACACTGTTAGCATAGCTAAAAATAATCATTGTAAATAAATAAAAAAACTATGCAGCAATGCAACACTTACACAGAACAAGTACAAAACAACACATCACAGAAGAAGTTACCTGGGAGACACTAAACCCGATAAACACACCTGGACATGTACTTACTATAGTTCATGCTGACTACTTGTCATTGATGTTGCAAAAAGAGAAAACGTTTAGCTTAGTTATTAAATGCTGACAACATGACTCTGATGGAAACACTGGCTGTTCACCTGGGGCTCTATTTTCCTCCAACAGGGCACTGTGTCTAAACTCCTGGCGCAAGGTGAATATGAGCATGTTCAACAATGTTTTGCAATCTTGGTGACCACAGAAGCAGCGCATAGAGCACAACATGGTGAGCAGGTGGAGTCGGGGCTGGCTTTAGTTCTGTCCAATCAAACCAGCTGCTCTCATCTCCTTTAAAGAGCAGAGAAGAAACCTGACTGACTGATATCTCTGACATGAGGACAAGGAAATATTCTTTCCCTGTATCTTCTTCTCCTACCAGTTATGTTCCACATTCTAAAATTGTGATGACAAAACGATTCATGTAGAAGTATTTCACATGGATATTTGCTCAGCGGTCTGCTAATATCACTGACCAGAAAGAAAGACTCCTGTAACCTGTAAGTATATAATGTAATTCACAGCTGCATCTAGTGTGTGAAATCCACAATTATTTTAGGGTTATTTAAAAGTTTATAAACATTTCATTGTTTTTAAAATAACAGAAATAAATCTTCCTGCGTTTGTGGTGAAACTGACTGTGGTTCGCCAGTGGATGTGTCAGCCACTTTATCTCCACCTACAGTTGCTTTCAAAGCCTATCAAACAACCATAAAATGCAACACAAGATACAATGTATGTCCCCATGGAAGTAACAATGGCATGTCTTCGTGAAACTTGTTTGTTTGAAGAATATTTAACTTAACAGTTCAGGCTTATGTGTAATATTTTAATGTGGATATGGATTCCCAAACAAAGACTGCATCTCCGGTGTAAGGACAGATGATGCATCCTGACGCACATCAACACTAATCATACTCATATCTATGCATGTGTTTATAAAAATTCTCCCACTTATCTCACCTGGTATCCCTGTTTTATTACTGTGTAATAATACAGCCTTTTAACTGAAACAAAATGGGACATAATAAGTCAACATAATCTCAGCCCAAGCCAGGTATAACTGAAACTTGACTGAGGACAATAGAGAGCACATTTCAAACCACACATAGAGAAAAGATGGAGAGTTCATTAACCTCATGGAATTGATGTGCCTCAAAGGTGATGAGATTACTTCAGGTATTTTTGGATGTCGGCAGATCGGTTTGATGATTTACTGCATCAAACCAAGCCATTTGTTAAGCACACCACCACACCATACATCCCTGCAGCACAAACAGTACGCCTGTGGTTTAGATGGAGTGCTGTAGTCACATGATACTACAGAGCCAATCACTAGAGGGAAGCCATACACCATTGTTTGCAGAGTTTGAAAAGATGACTAGCTTGCTCGCCGGTGTAGTGACATAACTGCGGAGGGTTTTGATAGCACACAGCATGTTTGTGGCACCTTGCACAATGAGCATGCAGTGGCCTATTTGGCTGGTTAACATACTCATTAAGAAATAAATTTTGTGATTCTCTTCATTAATTATGTTCATTATTATTAATATTATCACCATCATCATGTTTTTATATTTAGTTTATTTGACTACAAACCTCTTGCACTCAGGTGTGTTACTTTGAACCAAACTCTTATATTTATGGTAATTTGTGGAATGTAAGATGTTCTTATGTATATGCTGATTACCATTATATTGTATTGAATGGACCTGTCCAGGGTGTACCCCGCCTCTCGCCCAGTGTCAGCTGGGATTCGCTCCAGCCCCCCCCCAAACCCGAAGTGTGTTGCTTATGTTCAGTCTACTCTGTTGTTTTGTTTTTGTTGCTGTCACTGCAGAAAAACCCGCTTCACACAGATGGGATGTCGGAGATGGCAACAGGGTTTTCAGTGCTGTGGTGGCGATCTCAGGGTATTCTGTCATGACTTTAATCCAGAACACCGACAGAGTTGTTGTCTCGAACATACTTTTAAGGCCGCCGTCATTTGCGATCTCCAGCAGTTGATCTTCTTGTTGCACAGACCTGCTGGATTCACCTGGTTTGTTGACAAATGGGTTGCGGATCCATTCCTTGGCAGTTCGTGGGTCCTTTGTGGTTGGGAAGTAGCGCTCGAACTCTTTTATAAGCAAAGACAGGTGATCGTGCACCAGCTGGGAGAATGAAGGCTCAGGCTCAGTCTCACCCAAAATCCCCGCTAATGTTTTAAACATGTCCAAAATGCCTCTGTTGACGCGCCGTCCCCACAAATCCAGTTTGGCTTTAAATGCAGCTACTTTATCTGCCAACTTGAAGACAGTTGTCATTTTCCCCTGAAGTGACAGATTGAGTTCATTGAGCAGGCTGAATATGTCCACAAGTAAGCCAGTTTTGGCGCTCAAGTGACCGAGATGTAACCGAGAGAATGCGGTCATTTTTCAAAATAAAAGATCGTTCAGACTCAGATAATAAATAAAACGGAAATAATTAATAATTTCTTGTACGGCCCGGTACCAATTGATCCACGGACCGGTACCGGTCCGCGGCCCGGGGGTTGGGGACCACTGGTATAGATAATGGATGGATGGATGGTTTTGCAACAGTCAACTACCTTAGGCTGGAGTTTTTATTGTCACCAATATTTCTAAAAAGGGGTAAAACTATGAAGACTGTGCTATTTGCAGACTATTTTAAAGTTTTACTGAAAGTAGCTGCTTGTTGTTTTGTTGTTCTGAAGGTGTTTGTTAAGCCTTGTTCAAGTTTTCTGCCAGAATGCTAGACTGACTCCATTAAATGAATGAAAGGTTTGTGTTTTTTCACTCAAAGTCAGTCTGAACATGGCCTTAGTCTCATTTCAGCATTCTGGCAAAAGTAATGTAACGAACAAAGAATCAAATCACTTATGACAAACAACTAGTCTAAAACAAAACAAAGCAATAAATGAGACTGATAAGTGACTAAATCTACTCACGTGGAGTTCTTGTACTGCAGGAAACCAAATTCATCCCTTTGTCCATCTGGGCACAAGGACTGCATGATGGGAATGATGCCAGCCGAGGTAAGTGGAGCTGCACTGTAAAAAGCTGGACATGAAGGAAGAAAAACAGGGGCAGTACAACCATGAAGAACAAGACAAAGAAAGAGGAGGGTGGCACAGGCATGCAGAGGATACAGATTTAGAAAAGAAGGAGATGAGGACCAACAAGTAGGAGACATGTAATCCAACAAAAACCAGAAAACCAAACAGGACAAAGAGAATGAAAAAGCAGAAGGTCAGAGTCTGTGTTAGAAAGTTGGAAAGGAAGGCAGATGTCAGACTAGACACTTGAAAGGCAGCACAGCAGCTAACGGCCAGGGAGGCTCACAGAAGTCAGTATTGAATACACAAGCCTTTCATTACTTTTGTTGCACAAAAATGGCTCATGATCGTTTTTCTCATCTGTCCTTAAATTATGGCTGGACATGCTCTCAAACAGGAAAAAGAAACTTCAGTTATTGCTATAATAATCCAATGTTTCCATGGTTACTGTTCAGCTGAAGATTATCTGAGTGTGGATGCTGAACATCCGCCCACAAAACACTATTGTCCTCCAGTTCACTCTCTCTCCCTCATATCATCCTTATTATCATCTATTCCTTTGTGAGAAACAGAAGAAAATACATCTGTATATGTGACAGGTGTAGAAAGAGGAATGACCAATATTATACAACACAGTTGTAATACTATAAAGTATGTCTTCATGTTTTATGTGAATACAGAGAATGAATAATTGGTTTATTAAATTTATTACAGACAAATGAGTGAAGTCCTCCTGCTGCCAGAGGCCTCAAGGTGTGACTCAAAGCTCTTGCAAAAATTTTGTAAGTAGACCTTGGGTTAAGAATTCTTTGTCACACATTTGTTTCTAAGGTCAAGCATAAACCCTCAAGCTACATTTTTTTTTTTAATTTTGAAGACATTTAGAAACAGACATAAGTTAGCCTGTGAATGACTTGTATGAGCAGTTTATAAATGCTTTATATCCCACTGTAATGACTTGGTTTTTAAATTTTATCACCATATTGTGCTATCAATCATTCATTAATACTTATTCACCAGTTATGCCTCAAAGCAGTTATACATGTTTCAGATTTCTGGTACTTTGTTGTAGTTTAGTATATTGTTTTATATGTATATATTTGTTTGTAATATGGACATTCTTTTCTCTCAGTGTCCAAAATAAAGTTCAAAATGAAATGAAATCATAGTATAATGGGCAAAAAATCCTTAAAATACCTTAAAAATGTTTTTCCATATATTTTCTGAAGAAGTGCATTCAACACAGATGTTAGAGCTCAAATGGAGCTGATGAGTAACAGTGAATATAAACAGAAACCTTTGTTTATTAAAAATAACTCCATAGGATATTTGCAATGTCTTGTCAGTCAATACTTGTACGCTGTCAGTTTTATTACAGCCAGCCACATTCACTCAACATTAAGCAATGAGCATTAAATTAGATGATAAACATTTTATTAATGCATTCACTTTTCTTTTGCCCTTATGGAATCGTTAAAAACAGTAAAGCTTCACCAGCAAAATAAGCTTTAAAACTCTTACTGTATATGAAGCAGCCTGTGGTAGACTGGCTGTCACAACGTTTTAAATGTATCACACTCACTGAATGATAAAGCCATGTTACACACTACATAACATGCCAGAAAAGGGCTTTAATGTTTGCTGTTCCTTCTGAAGGAATAATACTTTGGAATTTTGACTGCTGTTGTTTTATCAATATTACATTATACTATGTGCAGCTGCTCTTAGCCAGGGCACTCCTGTAAAAAAGATTTTTAATCTTGGCAAGCCTCTTTCAATAAAGTTATATATAATTCAGACCTATAGCTCTTCTAAACTGAGCAATTTCTCAAATGGGTTTGCCAGAGTACATAAACCATTTCTACTATGGTAACAGCACAAAGAACAGGTACAGTTGAGTACTCTGTTGTTTAAAGAGTGGCTGTGTTTTTAACAACCTCCAAAAAACTCAGAAGAATATACTAAACAGAAGGACATACAAAAATAAATCCAGTGTGTTCAAGAGCTTGATTAAGTCTCGGGAGAATTAAACTCTCCCATCTGCATGATTCTAATTAAATGCAGTATATCTTTGTTCATGCCTTAATAGACCCTGGTGCTTTGCTTTACACCAGATATTTTTAGTACCCTTATTTATGTCCTCTGAATAGTTCTTCCCTTCTTTCAACAAAGTCATTAAAGTTCAGCAATTATGTAAAGTAAAAGAATGGCTCATGGATTTGACCCTAGAATAGAAACTAAAGCTGAATTGCCAGCTCTTACACTCTTGCTGCAGAAGGATTGAAAAAACAAAGCACTAAAAGTGGAGACCCCACTGTCTTTTCCAGATTCCAGATTTGTTTTATCTGAATTTAGGCTTTATATTCATGGCTTCAAAATTAAAGTAATACAAACATGCTACATTAGCCATAAAAGAGTTTGCAATAGTATAAAATATCAGTTTGAATAAATAATGTATTGGAGAATGTGTTGACATAAAGTAGGTCAGTACATTCAGTTCACTGACATCTGTTCTCTCTGACCATCAGGCTGAGATTAACAGCCAACAAGACAAGGGGCTGTGTTTTCCTGAGATAGGGTGCAGTGGTAAACATAAGTCTAAACTCCAGAAGAAGGTGAATATGGCTGTGTCCACTGATGTTTTGCACTTTTGGTGACCATCAACAGTGGGTCTCAGGAGTTATATGCATGCAACTTTACAAGAGTTTAATTGTTACAGCCCTAAAATAAGCAATTAATCAATAATAAACGATAAGAAAAATAGTTGGCACTGAATTTAACTTGATTAGTTGGGTCTAGCCACATAGCTGTGTGAGACAGCCAAGCGCAGACATGGCGAGGTCAGCGACTGGGTGAGTGCTACTGCTCCACACTCCAGTTCGGCGGTGTATCACGACATTTGAAAAATGGCAGAAGTTAACAGCAAAGTGGGTGACCAAGTTGTATAATGTTTGGGACACTTTATTTTACAATCAGAAAGAAGACTGTCTTGTGCCACATATGCAAAACATATCTGTTGTGGTAGGGAAGCATGATGCTAATACATTACCACCTAAAGAAAAGACAGGTTGGAGTTAATGTTACAGAAGAAGGGGAGTTTAATGTTAAGTAAATAGTCAATTTTACTTAATAATGTAAGAAATTAGGAAACAAAAATTATGATGTACTTGTTTTTAGGTAGTGTGGTTACATTGTTACATATATTATGATTCTAATTATATGTTTAGGAACATAAGACTAATGGTGGGTTGTGTAGGCTACTAATAATGGGTGCTAAATGCTTTTCCATTTGTGTTGCATTTGTGTAAGCATAAGACAAAGTTGTTTATAACAAAGTTATAATGTTATAGGTGTGTACAGGAACATTGATGACACATATGCAAGTTAAGAGTAAGCCTAAATGTGTTGAGGATTGTTTAGGCATACTTAGATTTACTTTTAACCCCCAGCAGTAGCAGTCATGTTTCTACTGGCTCTTTACATTAACATATGTTTTATGAACATACAACATAGCCTAAATTATTTTAAATAATAAAAATCTGATTTTGTTAATGCTGTAAGGACGTGTTTACTTTATAAACACTCTATTCTTTAACAAATAACTTTTGTGTAAATGCATTGCATATAAACATTGTATAACCATTGTTTAAAAGAATGCATTTATTTTTGTTCGATGGAAAATTGAGGCTTTTTATACACTCAATTGATCAATCATAGAAATAATTGATTATTTAAATAATCATTAGTTGCAACCCTAGTTTATTTATCTATTTTATGGTGTTATACCAAAAGTGAAGTGAAAAGTGATCTGTTAAAAACTGATTGCGGCCTAGGAGTGAGTAGCCTGTTCTAGATGAAACCTCACATTTTATCTACTACACCTGCAGCTGATTTTTTTCAAGATCAAACCTTCATAAAAACGGAGACAACGTATATCCCCCTAGTAGTAACAAATATATAGCTTTAAAAAAGCAGGAATTACTGTGACAAGAAAAGTCTCTTCCATTGGAGACAGTACAAAGTGAAATTAAAGATCAAATCAAAATGTACTGTATTTATATAGCACTTTAAAAACAACAGCTCATTGACCAAAGTACTTCACACTATCAGAAAATAACAGACAATATAGTATACATAGAAGAGAAACAAACAATATGACATACGAGGAGGCATAGCAATTCCACTGTGATCCAAAGGCCAAAGAGAAGAAATAAGTTTTAAGCAAAGACTGAAACACTAATAGGTCCATTACAAGCTCTATTATTAATAGGTAGACAGTTCCACAGTCTGGGGGCCACAACAACAAAAGTGTGATCACCCCAATGTTTATAATTAGTACATCTAAAAGAAACCAATTAGAAGACCTAAGGCCATGCCACTGCAAGAGTTCGTGATTTCGGTACCTCATTTTGGTGCCATTTAAATGCCTTTTGATTGAAGTATTTACCCTCTGGTACTGTGAAACGGACAAAATGGGCAACAGACGCATTACTGCACATCGTGTGCTAACGCTATCATTATAATTATGTTTCATTTCATCTACCTCGGAGGTCAGAAGTCGGAGATGGGAATGAATGGGAATGTTTTTTAATGTCGTCAACCTTCATTTTATGAAGGGTATAAATTTCACGATGTCCATTCAGCCATGGCCGCTGTTGCTCTGGCATCTGGCCGTGATGCCCTGTATATTTGTTGGAGTTACTTGACAACAGTGCAGTAGAATTTTATGTTTTTTTGCTCTTTAATACTGCTTTGTAACATCAACTTTTTCACAAACTGTTTGTTGATGACCTTCTGAGTTCTCTTGTGTGTTTTGTTGTTTTCTACATTTTTTGGGACCCATCTCGGATTACTTACACCTGAGACGAGCTCCTGGACATCTGACAACTCATTCTGGACATTTTTACCCCTGGGGCAAGTTCTTTCGACTTCTTGATCAGCTGCTACCTAGTCAACAAAATGGATGAGCTGCTACTCATCAACCAGAATAACTCAGGTTTCTCA